GGGGGGGGAGGAGAGGGGAGGTGGTTCTGCCAACAAGTTGTGATCTTCTGCTCTCACTTGGGTAACAAATAATTAAAGGCGTTTAAACAAGGACAATGACCCTAGGGCAATAACCAATTCTGTTGAATGTATTTTCAGAGCTCTACTCACAAAAAGAATCAAATTCCCAGGCGGCGAAGGTGAGCTTTAACGACCGACATCTTTAAATATCTATATAATCTTGTGACTCCCAATAATTATGAGATGGATAATCATATCAACAACACAAATAGATTCCATGTTGTGGTGGGTCTGTTCAGAGATACATCACAGAAGACATTGAAATGTGGTAAGGCACTTTTTCGTTCTAATCATAACCATTACAATTCCTCAAATGTGATTGGTGCACCGGCTGCTTTATTTTTCATTAATCATTCTGTAGAGTTGTAGTCGGATAGTGTAATCGGACAGTTGGCTGTAATCGGACACCTGTAATCGGACAGTTGAAGCAGCCAATCATACTTAATCCTTTCAGTCTAATCCACCAATCACAGAATCGATCACAATAACCATAGCAACAACCACTTATCCTAAAAAAGTTGCGAAATTACCAAATTTGAGGAATGTTTTACTTAGACATTGTCTCTGCCGCACATATTTGTCCTAAATGTATTTTTTGTTTTCGGAAATTGTAACGGTTATGATTAATTGGTAACAGGACTTTTTGTCGTCCAGTTCTGTCTGTAATCATACTTGTGATTTACAAATCAGACTTCCGCCTCGCGGTCGCCCGATTTTGTTGATCACTCGTATGATTACAGACCGAATTGTACTCCACTCGGTCCTATTACCATTATTAATCACGTTTTGACTGCACAGACACACGGCAACCCTGAATCTATTTGTTCACTGGTTTTTGGAGCACAACTCTCAATTAAAGAACTACAAATCGAGCTTAAGATTTCTTTTCAATTTCTTTCCTTTTTTTTTTAATCATAACAAATCTCATCTTCATTTTTGCTTAGGGTTCTGAACACAAAAAGGCAAAAACCAAGCCCCAACGTTTAACTGCAGAAGAGAGACAACAAGCCCGAAAGCAACATCTAAAAGATTATTGCAGCAAACATTCGTTTAAAACTAATCCAAGCCCCAAGGAAATCCACATTGCCGTCGATGATGAGCTGAAGTTCCTTTATTGCATAGTCCCAAAGGTCGCATCATCGACGTGGAAGACAGTTTTTGCTGCCACTCGCAGACTTCGAAGACAAATCAGCCGTTGGCAAATGTGGAAACTGCTCGCTGAATACAGCGAAGAAGAAATAACTCTGCGCCTGAACACATACTTCAAGTTTATTTTCGTGCGGGAGCCATTGCAACGCTTGCTTTCAGCATATAAAAATAAGTTTATACAATTACCCGGGTATTCCGCAAAAATTCGTCAAGTCATAATCCAAGATCTTCGGCCGCACGATTTTGATCCAAATGGGGAAAATTACATTAGTTTTGCGGAATTTATTCAGTTTTTTTCCAATAATATATCGCGAAATCAACACTGGCGCCAATTCGAGAATCTTTGCCATCCCTGCGTCATCGACTATGATTTCATTGGTCACTTAGAGACATTGGAAGACGATGCTCCCCTTTTGCTAAAAAAGGCGGGAATTGACGACCGCGCCACTTTCCCGCCAATTCACAAAGCAACAGGTGAATCAGAAGTGTTGAAGTACTATTCCCAGATCCCACAATCGTACATCAATAAGTTAGGAGAACTATACCGCAGTGACTTTGAGATGTTTGGTTATGAATATCTCGGACCAATAAAATCTTATCTGAATCAGTCCACCCAAGGCGTGAAGACGAAAGGGAACGTATAGCAAAGTATATCTGCTCACAGGCATCCCATGTCACGTCTCAAGAAAACGCTAACGATTAATTCATGAAAGCGTTATGCGTTGAGTGACGCGGTGTTAAGTGAAGCGAGGAACCGTTGAGAATTTGACCGCGTGAGATAAAAAAAAACTTACCAACTTCTTCTTTTATTTATTTTACGTGTGCAATGTTCATATTTCGAAATATTTATCGTTGTAAATCTACCGTATTTCGTTTCCCATACAATTTCTTATTATAACGCGTAACTTCACGCCGCGTCACACAACGTGAAACGCTTTCATGAATTAATCGTATGCTTTTTCTCGACACGAGAACTTGGGATGCCTGTGATCCGCTGAGCCAGTCCACGTGCATCCTTATTCGAAGCAATCAACTATTCTTAAAAATCTCCTAACATCCTATCACAAATACACATGCACTCTGAGTTGCTACGCTACTCACTCTCTCTACCACAACCCAAAGTGAGTAAAGTGAACTGCCTAACAATGTGACGGCAGATGTAAACAAAATAAAATAAAATCATTTGCCTGTCTCGTTGTTAATAGCTCATTTCCGAGTTCTCACGGGTCAGAAGTCTGGTGCCGAAATAAGAGCACAAGAACGAGGGTAAACGCGACGTCGCTCTCGAGGACACGAAAAATATAAAGCCAAGGTAATGAAATATGGATGCTTTGAGAGGTAAAAAGAAAACTGAGCAAACTTTTTTTGAAATTCAACGTGGGCGATTTCAAATTATATGCTAGAGGGAAGCATTCATGACGGCTTGCAAAGGACAGCGAAAAGCAGGAACTGCTTGATATATCCTAAAAAGCTGCGGTATGGAAGCAAAGAAAACTGGGCGATTCTGCTGATGACCATCATGTAAAAATTTTCTAAAATTATCGCTAACTGTAAAATCAATGTGTCAGTGAACATGCAGTAAAACGGCCTGATTTTCGATAACAGTTTCTTTCAATTTTCTTTCTTCGTTTTGTTTAGTTTTTCCTCTTCTGTTAATTAAGGATTTAAAAATTCAATAGCTCTCATTTTGTTTTCAAAAATAATTAGCAACCTCTTATTTCTTTTCGTCAAGAACATAATAAAACAGCTAATTACAAAAACGTTTCGATGACAACCGTGATTCATCTAAAACATGACAGAAGTAATTAACAAACGCTACTTTAGATTGAGACGTCAAGACGGCCGTAAACACACAAATAATTGACTGAAATATTTTGTAATCACGGGAAAAACATAGATTTGGCTCAACATCAAAGGAAAATTAACGTACTTTCGTCCAAATTTGTATCGGGTTTTGAGTGTAAAAATTACTAAAATGATCATTTGTTGACAAAATCAAAAGTCACCGAATCGTATTTCCGAATTTCCCTACAAAGAAAATTGTCACAGTCTGCTAAAGTATATGAGCGTTTGCGATTCACGGACTCCCGATATGCTAGTACGCGCTGTACACCTTTAAATACATAATTTTACACGTATTAAAGCCATCTTCCTGTTTTGTTTAGAATTAAACCGGGAAAAACTTGAAAAAATAACTAAATAAACAAAAAATGAACAAACAAGGCACAACGAATTTTTATCAGCCGGTAGAAAAAATCAAACAAGCAAAACAATTACCTTTGCAGGCGCGCTGTAATGTTAGCAATTGTAGAAAAGACGCCTGATAAGATTAAGGCTGTTACTGGATTCGAACCCATACCTCCTCCCAAATACAGGCGCAACCACCGACCGACCGAGCTATGAAGCTACTCGTTGGGAACGAGACACACTTGAGACGGTTCCTCTCTACCTTAGAGAAAGCTAATTATGATTTTTTTTTTCCTTTTTTGTAACTATTATACTTTTCTGAATTTGAAAACAAATATACTGAATTAATCAAATAAAAGTGAGAAACGATTCGATAGACACTAGTGTAAAGAATTTTGGGTTGATGGCTTTTACGGATAACAGTTAAAATGTTGGCCATTTTACGGCTAACGGGTAATATCTTTGAATTGCTGAAACCAGAACTTTTTTATGCTTAACCTTTTTTACGACTATCGGGTAAAATTTGTCAATTTTTACGCCTAACGCTTAAAATTTTTCAGCCATTTTACGGCTAACGGATAATATTTTTGAATTGCCGTCACCAAAACGTTTTTTAACGGTTAACTTTTTTTAAGACGAACGGTTAAAATTTGTCAATTTTTACGCCTCACGGCGGAATGTTTTGGCCGTTTACGACCATCGGTTAACCGCATTGAAACCATCCAAGAAGTGTCAAAGCAAGCGCTATGGAAACTGTGTAATCACATTTGAACAAAAGCCACAAAAAGCCGAAAAAAAAAAAAAGAAGAAGAAATCCCTGGAGTTAATATGCCAGATGAACATAACAATAGCCTTGATTAACAAAAAAGAAATCACAAGGTGTTTCGCCTTTTCAAAACCTTGATCTCACCTCACTGTGAACGACCAAATCGTGCTAAGCATCGATCAAAAAGGTTTTGATCCTCGACCTTAGTGGTTGGTCAAGATGTCGCTGCACAAAGCTGTTTGGGTGACATTATGTTTGTTAATGTTCCTCATTTTATCTTCGTTGTATTATTTTGGAACTTGGAAGATTACTATCGGTGGACTTGCAGATGATTTCGGTAAGACTCTCCTCTCTTAATTGGTAACTAGTAACACTTCCTCGACAAAAATGGTAACCACAATTTCTTCGTGAACTGTATTAGTCATGCTTAAACGCAATGGAAAAAAGAGTCACAACTTTACTAGCAAAGGTATATAACTGCTCAACTATATCAGTGTAATTAATTCTTTGCCACAACCCATCAATCAAGGTGAGTCCTTGAAGATTTTTAAGCATCGAATTAAAAACTACAAGTTTTCGTAACCTCCATTTTTTTTAAAAAATTTTTCACTTGGAACTCGTGTAATTTAAGGAATAAATTTGTAGTTTTTATAACTAATTTGTACTATTTACGACAGTATTGTGAGTTTCAACTTCAGGGCTCTTCTAGATACCAGACTCGAGGCTGAATGGGCTACTCTAAAGCAAAGTTTATCATTCTATCTTTGTATTTATCTGTGTATCTATTTTTCCTTAAAATATCACCTCTGAACCACGCATTAAGGTCACAACAATAAAGGAAATGATCATAAAACTAAACAAGCTCTTGATTGCTACACAAATTCTTCTTGTCGACACCTTAGGAAACGTACAGAACAGAAAAGTATGGAGAATATGCATACTGATATTAGGATGTACAGAGTTAACCGAGCTGCATACAACATTACATAGTGTCAGAAGCGGTCTAAAAAGACAACGCCCACGGACTTAAAAAATGATTTGTCATAAAGAATTTCCATTTATTACATTTTATCGTTATTTTCCTCTTAGATATGAGTATATCATGGCATGGGTTTTGACACAGGAAACTTAAAAGCGGGATTCCGCCTAGTGAACTCATGGTTGTTTAAAGACATAATCTGATTTTTTTTGCTGTAAAATATTACCATTCATCGATACTTAACCGATTCAAAAACTGAACTTCAAAAGCATAAATTAAGCAAAGAAAAGACAATATTTTCGGGCTTTAACTCCATACGAACACAATAAGCAACTGTGAGTTGTTAAGTTGTCAAGGAAATAAAACACAAACCGCAAACATGTTCGTTCTAATTTACAAAAGCACTGTCATACGCGTGATATCAACCGGTTTGATATAGAGGTCAGAAACGCCGCTCTTCACAATTAAAACCTTTCTCAGTTCCGACTTCGCGAGAAATACTCCATGTATCTGGCAAAAGAAGAAATTCTTGAGACAACATTTAAAATTCCAAATTTAGTTTGGAGTGTATATGCTCTGGGACATCACATTAACATTTCGTAAGGAAAAAGACAGCTACTGATTGTACCAACAAAGTGTTAAGTGACGATTAGTTTATTTGTGACAAGTTTTTTATATTCATGTTAGAAGAGTTTGCTCAAGATATCTGGTCCCTGAAAGCTACTCAATATTAGAACAGAACGTCAAAGTAAAAAATCATGAATAATAATAATAATAATAATAATAATAATAATAATAATAATAATAATAATAACAATATCGAGAAAGGTGTCGAAACCTCTTGACTTCCTCCTTCAAAAATGGTGTTTGCACAAAAATCCACTGACTAAACTTATCTTTTCCCATTATAGAAATTTTGCAAAGACAGGCCACAAGAAAGAAACATTTGAATAAATTTTGTCAAACACATTCATACAAGATCCCAGTTGCTGATGACTTAAAGTTTATCCTAGTAGACGATAAAAACAAGTTTATGTACTGCACGATTCCAAAGGTTGGTACTACAACATGGAAAAACGTGTTCGGTAATCTTCGACGCTTGAAAGAAAACTCCTTTGAAAACATTCACCAATGGGACCTCTGGCATCGATTGAGTGCGTACTCGGAGAAAGGAAGGCGAAAGAGAATTAACACTTATTTTAAATTCGTCTTCGTTCGCGAACCTTTTATTCGCTTGATCTCTGCCTTTAAAGACAAATTTCTTGGTCTGGACAAATGGTACACGAGCAGGGAAGCTCGTGAAGGCATTACAAAAGCTTATCGACCGCAAGATTTTGACCCAAATGGAGACAACAACGTCACCTTTGCAGAATTCGTTCAATATTTTTCCAATAATGTTTCGCGCAATGCACACTGGCGAGAATACGAAAAATTGTGCCATCCGTGTTTTATCAACTACGACTTCATTGGTCATTTAGAAACTATGCAAGAGGACGCTCCCCTTGCCTTAAAATTGGCGGGAATTGACTCCCGCGTCACTTTTCCGCCAATTCACGAATCAACCTATAACTGTGAGGTGCTGGAGTATTTTTCCAAGGTCCCCCCAGAATACATCACGCGATTAGGCGAAGTGTATCGCAGAGACTTTGATATGTTTGGGTATGATTATCTAAGTCACGTGCGACCGCTTCTAATTGGTAACGAAAACAGATCGAGCACTCAATCGTAGAGTAACTTGACGTATGGTGATACATCCTTCTACAAAATAATACTTTGGCATGAGTCAGTTTTATGCTCAGCGGAAACAAGCTAGGAGCGCACGCGCACGCGTTCTCTGCGCTCTCTTGTCAGTCTACTTTCCCGGGAGCCTGGGACTGATTAACATACCAAAACAGTTTACCTGGAATGTCACTGAAGCACGTTGTAGGATGGAAGTAATGCCTGAGACCGTGAAACGCATTGATAGCGGCTTCCATGTAAAACTCAGGTGTAAACTCAAACAGGTTTTCCTTTATAGTACCACGCTCCACAGATGACATAATACAATTCAGCATCCAATGTACATCGTTCTGCTTCTCCTAGGAAATAAACAGTTACTATATCATTAGAGTGTATTAAAGAATTAGCTATTATATATTTTTTTTGGTTTTCAATCTGATCTAATCTGCGCATAACCCAGCCCAAAATAATGTTAAAACAGAAGACATTGACAAAAGGGATCAAAATCAGGATTATCATCACTCTATCGGCATTGTAATTCGTTTTGCAGGTTTAAATGGATACTTTGGCGGATAAAAAATGTATTTTAGCTTACTCGTCCACCCGCGTGATGTTGAGACTGTTTTGTTGTCACTTTTTTTTCTGTTTTTATTTTTTAATGCCCTCCAAGGCGATAATAACAATAATAATACAATTAATGACCTTGGGCATAGCATTGTTGTGGGCCCTTCCCAGAGTTCACCCCAACCTTTACCCAACGGCTTGGGCTAAAATGACTCTGAGTCGCGCCCAATTCTACAGTTTATTGTCGTAGAAGGTGGGAGGTTGGTACATGCTACTAAAAGGGTCCCAATTCTTCATTTCCTAGAGGAAGTTGATGCTAAGTTTTTATGGTTCCATGTCATTTTCCGTCCAACTGCGCACCTACCCCTCTCCTCACCTAAAAGTAACGTTTAATATCGGATTAGGGGAGGGGTAGGTGCGAAGTTATTCAGATACTGGCACTGATCTGTTTTTATATCGCATCTCCCACCATACTACAGGAGAATGACCTCTTGGTCTATTTTTTTTTCTTTCATTACTATGGACCCAAACAAACCTTAGTGAAAATAAGAGTGGAAACCCAAGCCATGTGTCTTGCGCAGTGGGTGGTTTCTTGAAGGAAGACTGTCTTCGATCTTTCCAGTTCTGCTAGCACGTCAGTTCTCTTAAAAGATTACAACAACAAGCTTCCGTTACAACTTAAAACGAACTTATTTAGCCAAATGACGGGAAAATATAGCGCGCGAGCACTGGGCTGGGTAAGCGTGGTAAGGGCTTCTTAGAAAAAATAACTGGGCATGAGGTGAAACGTAACTAGCTTGGATCAAGGGAATTTTCGATTATTTCGCTTTTGTTTTTTAATGTAAATGCAGTCTCGGTTGTTTAAGTGAAGATCGAGAACAAATCTGAAATTACACCCTTTTGAGTATTTTAGGTGCATTACCCCCGATGGGATGCTAGTCCATCACAGGGTTACCCATCCCCCCTCCCCTCTCATCACAGGGTTACCCCAGCGTTTCGTCGAAATTCCCAGACTATACCCCAGTACCCACGGGGGTGGAAAAAGGCACTGTGTGAGTCCAGTGTCTTGCCTGGGAACACAACACACTTCGTCACCAGGCCTCTCAACCCGGAGTCTAACGCATAAAGACCGAAATGGCCGCGCCTAACCGCTTCTTTAAAAATCAAGGAGTACATGGTTGTAAATACCTCCTGTTCACAGCGTCTGATTTTTGCCATCGTTTCTTCAAGAGCTTTGATGTTCTGCTTCATGTTTTCCCGTACGGCTCTCACCTGTAAAAAGTATAAACTTGCTTTTGCTTGCTCTGAAGACTAAAACTGGGCCATGTTCTCACCTTCCGCAATAATAAAAGCAGAGTCGAGTAATTGAAGGGAAATGGTGATGGACTCGAAGGTGTCCACTGTAAGGAGAGTTCTCGAGAGCTCGAGTCTATCAGAAAAAAATTTTAAATTCGCACTCAGTCTCCCTTCTACCTTAGACAATTGCTTGTGTACAGCAATATGGTAAAGCATGATGACGCCATCCAACATTTCCACCAATGAAGGCTCAAGGTTACGATCTTCACAGGAGATGGGTGATTCGTCCCCCTCACTGGACTCCTCTTTGTTTGCTGACTTTTCGATGGCGTCTGAGAAACAAATGGCGCTCTCAAATAAAGAAAATCTAACCTGTTATCTTTCTTCGAACCACATCTATTCGTTTGGGTTTTCCTTGTTAATATCATTATAATAATTATCATAATCCTTAAAATTATCATGATTATCATAATTATGATAATTATATTAACTACCATAATCATCAAAACTATCATGATTATCCTCACTGTCATAATTACCATAATTATAATAATTATCATGATTATAATCAGCACAATTATCATGATTATCATAATTATCATAAACTATCATAGTCATCATAATCATCATCATTTTATCATAAATGTTCCCGTGGAAACCCGTGAACAAGAGGGAAGCCTCTCCAAATGCTTTGATATCTTTTTACACATTGCGAATTTTTTCTTCGTTCGAGGCAATAGAATGGAACCGAATTTGCCTGAAAACTGAAACAATTGGTTTTCTAAGCCAATTGTCGAAGCAGGCCAGGCAAACTGTGTCCAATTCCTAAAATCAAGGCTCACTCCGAAAAGTGTGAGGGTTAAAATAAATTTCAACGACCATTTGACTTACCGTGGTAGGCTTTCTTGAGATGAGACAAAACACCACCCACCCTAACAAGAGGAAGACAACAGAAACCACATTAAGGCAATACATTAAAATAAACCAGTAATACGGTACAAAACGATTGACCAATTTTCAACTGAGCGTTGAAATTAATCCGAGACTGCAAAGGTTTTCCTTCCCTTCGGTCTGTGATTGGTCCAGTAAACTGCCGCCACCCTCTGGACCGATCAGATGCAAAATTAAAGCCAATCATGACTTAGTCTCCCGCATTTTCCCGCGCTTTGAGCTGTTTGGTTGTTTTAACTACATTTTCCTTCGTTGCGTTTTTACTTCTACGAAATGAGCACTAAATACTTGAAAATATAGCGATAAAAAAAGTAAAAGATTAAAACTCCAATCTCTCATCGGCGTTGGATCCCACTCATTTACTTCAGCCGGAGACAAACTCGAATAATCTGTCGAATTCGGAAACATTACCTTGGTAGGTCCCAGAAATGAACTCCGTCGTCATGGAAAACATGGTTTGGAACGTATGCATCTAAAAAATTCATAAAAGTAAAATACACTAAATTTGTATAGGAATAATATTGATATTAGAGAATTATATGGTTATCTACAATGTACTACTGCTCCTAAATGAGAAAGGGAACCCTCTTTCTTAATTCAAAATTTTACGTTCCTTTAGGATAAACAACCAACCGGTAAAGTTAAAAAAAAAAAATCTCAGACAAATTTTGTCTCGGACAAAAATCTCAGTGCAAATTCTATTTTAGTTAGGTCTAGCTGTTCCGAGGCCAATTGGCGCTAACCCAAGGTTAAATTTTAATCTGGGGTTCTTTGTTCCTTTTTTCAAAAGACTTTTTGGGATAATTTTCTCTATTCTTTTAAGAGCATCCATGATATAAAATTTCACAATAACACTGGGTTATGAAGACGAATTATGTTAGATTTGAACAACCCTGGCCAGAGGAATGTGATATCTCTTGGTTCATTAATTGTGATTAAGTCTAATTATGGTATAAAACGGCACAGCAAAGCTTGATAGCAAAACATTGCAGTTTGCCCAAATTGAAAATTTTGCCCTAATCTGTCTTTAGTTCGTCATTTACCATTCGTTTTGTGTACCTTTACTTTTTATAGGCGAATCCTTCTCTTGAGCCCACTGCTCCCAATGCCAGCGGACTGCTTGCACCAGTCGATGATAGAAACACGTGATAACTGGTCCCGCACATGCGCTGGACGGTTGAAGCTGTTTGAATAGAAAAAAGCATCCCTTCAAATTACAAAACAAACCGAGCGTAAAATATTCACGAATGCATCAAAACCAGAAATATCTTAAGTTAATTGGACTAACCATAATGGTCATCATATTTTCCTGCAGGAATTTTCTAAACTTTTCGAGGAATAGCAGCCTTGTAGGTTTGGAGTCCTGGTAAAACATAACAACACCTCATACTTAGCGAATACTGCAACGGCGGTTCGATAGAATACGATACCTAATTTCTTTCATTTCTTTTCCGTCCATCCAAATATCTCTGAGGTTGGTTTTAACAAGGTATTTGGTAGATAGTGACAGAAAAGAAAAGCTCACAGCTAGAATAAACAAACTAACAAAAACATTTCTTTTCCAAAAATAAGCCGAGGGTCCACTGAGTGTCTAAAGCGCCGCCTGAGTTGAACTTCAGTCATATGTCTTATTGTGACATACGACTCCTTGAGTCATAATCAACAGAATAATTGTTTTTTTTTAAATAAGTACTCCAAGGAGAACTCAGATTCCTACCTTCAAACTCTCTTAGATTAATAAAGTGAACTATAGGTTAAAACCTATAAAATCTCGGCATTTATCTGAAATATAATTTAAATATCTAACATAAGGTGTTTACCTGCGTCGGTCGATCATCGCCTTTTAACAAAATCTTGCAAATTTCTACCTGAATATTCTCGAGCACTAAGAAAGGGGGAACAAATCCCATTAACCTTAGAATGTGACTGGCATCTAATTTCCCCTTACATCATCACTACTAAATCAAACATTAAGGTAATGAGAGTACAGGAAAAGACCACCCACTCAAGAAACTCTTGATTATTAAACAAATTCTCCTTGCCAGTACCATAGTAAATGTATAGACAATAGTACGGAGAATCTGCAAACTTGTGCTAGGGTGCAAAGGGTTATTAACGTTAACAGAAAATACTGTGAAAGCTAACGGGATTTAAACCAAATGGTAGAGTCACAACGAGGTTGAACCATTAGTTTTACTCTGAGCCACATTAAAATACTATTCTTTTTCCTTATTTGTTGCTTATTGTCTCCTCTGTGCTTTATTCTCTAACGAGACTAACATTTTTAACCACTTTTTCACTGTGTCAATAGTAATCAAGGATTATATTGGTTTTACTTTTCTGCGCTCCGTGATTGGTCCAAAAAAAGGTCGCGCCATCCTCTTAACCAATCAGATTCAATACCAACACTAATTGCGACTTCGTCACGCGCGTTCAGTTTTCCCGCGCTTTGAGCAGTCAGCTTATTTTTACTTTAATCCTCATTGGCTTATTGTGGTATTTCCCTTTCCTCTGATTGGCTACTTATACTCAATTCCTCGAAGTATCGACACCTAGGTTTCTTTAGCCCCTTTCCCCCTCCCTCTCCTCCCCTAATGTCACAAAGGGTGTCAGGGGATCAATGTTTAGTTACCTTGGACTTTGTTCTTGAGTTTATTGCAGGCAGTGGTATACTCAGTTTTTGACGCCTCACTCGGCTTCGATGACTCCTAGGAGGGAAGCATTTCATAGTTAAGTTATTCAGAGGTACAAAATTTTCTCTTTGACGGACTAGCTTTACATTCATGAGAATTAAAGAAAAAAGATTACGCAAAAAAATATTCAGTGAGTTACTTTCCATACACCCACTTTGGAGGGGAATTTAACAGTACTACCCTGCTCTACGTGAGGTAATATTTCGTCAAGAAAAATTTCACTTAGACGATCATCGTCGAGTATTGTGACTACACGACTGAAGCGTCTTTTAACCAGTGAAGACAGTGGTCGCAGGGAGCGCTTCATCTAACAGCCTAGAATTTGTAATGAAGATCTGACTTAAAAATACACACTAAGAACTCACATCGTCGCTTTCCCACCACACCGATGGAAAGGAAGACTGAAGGACTTTGTCATCTGGAGGCTTGATATGCATAAAGTAACTAAACTTCTGAGGAAAGGTTCATACGGTCAAAGAAACACAACAGAATTTTGCGATTAAATTCACAAATACCAACTGGCGCGCAAATGCCATGAACACGTTGCTTCCGGCGGAGTATTTTCATTCCAGCTGAAATGAAAATCTGACTAGATCCAAACAAAGGTAGTCTCTGAAGGGCAGTGTTATCGTTTGTCTCAGCCAAGACGATCATAATGTGTCGACTGCGGATTATAAGAGCGCTATCCTTACACTAACGCGAAAGGCGTCTTACATTCTTATGTTATTCGATTCTTTTCTGTAACCGCTAAATGAAGATGGTATACCAGATAAGGTTTTACAGTAACCATATTAAATTATAGAGTGTGAAAAGCAACTATTCTGTCTGTATACAGGACAATTATCACAGATGAATCTTGTCTTTGGACTAGCTCCACAATAATACCGCTTACTCAGTTGGTGGAGCATCGGACTGCATAATCGTAATGTCTGTGATCCGCGTGCTCGCAAGAGAGTCAGTCTTTCCTTGGCCATATGCTTGTGGCAATTTTCAACATCCTTTCAAATTTTTTCAATAGTAAAAAAGAGAAAATTTTTTAAAGGATATCTTTTACAAGCGATCCACAATCTTCGTGTTTTCTCGTGTTTGAGTATAGAAAGAACCAAGGTCAGGCACTGCACCTAAAAAGATAAGAAACCATGCAATGACATTGTCTAGATTTCTTCATCATTTTCACCGACCACCTCATCCAATTGAAGCACTTCCTGCTGAAAACTACGTAGGTCATGATCAGAAATACCAAAATAATTCATAAACAAAAAGCGGATTTTTGTAGCAATTGTGCAACAAATAGCCTATGTGTAGCCGCACCCTCCCCCCTAAAGGTGGAACGGACTTGCTTACAAAAAATAGGATGATTTATGTCTCAGGCGAGCTCAGCTATAAGAAAAAGTCGCCATATTATTGATTGAAACCACACGCCGTACGAAAGCGCACTGTGAATGACAACAAATCAGAGGAAATGATCGTATAACTGGCTTTACCTGTCGCCTAAAATCCATGGTAACCGGTTGAAACCAGTAATACTTGATCAGAGCATTTAGCAAGTGACTCAGAGAAGGCACCAGTTCAAATTCCTTAAAACCAAACGAGACAAAACTTCAGGTTAGACCAGTTATCATGTAACTACATTTTGTTGACACCAGGCAACATTGAAGTGGGGGAGAGGGGGAGAGATAAATGGAAGTTTTTGCAAAAATTTAAAAAGAAGTAGAGCATACCCAGACTCAACTCACCTCCATACAGACCCACATCATATCAAGAATCTTATGAACACCCAGTCGATGTTCCACAGGATTACATCCCACACAAGACTTGAGTAAGAACGGAAGGAGAACTTCTTCAACCACGTAGCCTCCAGTCTGGAAAATACCACAATAACGAAAATACACTCAGTACTGTAACTATCCCTGGTAGTTGATTAACCTTGTTCGATTACCCCTTTGTAACGATTTCCTTCGGTTTCACAGAAGTGAGCTGTGCATCACTTCACGGTTTCATTACGAACTAACATAACGACAACAAAATCAGTCCTTGATTTATCACTTCACAGGTTTATTACGAACTAGCATAAAGACCAGATCCCAGTTAGCCTGTTAGCTAAGTTGGTAGAGCACTGCACCGGTATCACAGAGGTCATGTGTTCAAATCCCGTACAGACCTGAATTTATACAAGGCCTTATTTTCACTTCAGCTTCAAGAGTGTTCATTACTGTGAAGACCGCTTTCATAATTGTTCATGTTTTAATCCGCAGTTCACATATAAGATTTTGATATAATCAAAGTAATTGAAACTGTGCATCGCTGTGCATGATATGGTGTTGTCAATCATCGAGGGAATACACGAAAACACCCCTACAACTAAACGTTATTTTGGCGACCAAATTTATAGTTTTATACTTGCAACAAGTTAGGCTAAGGGATGTTGAAAGCTTAACTGAAAACTGCGCCTATGTCACTGGAAACAAATTGAGCCGCATGGCAAATGTCGCCTGAGCGTAGTTTTACCAGAAGAGGTCCCAGTTTCTCGAAGACATGCGCAGTAGTTAGCAGCGTCAAAGTATCTGAACGACCATGAAGAGCCGGCGGCAAACAAGGAACTCTGTCCGGCTGGAAACCAAACAAAAAAGAATTAAAACAAGGCCCAGTCTTCTTTCTCCCATTCACTCTCTTTGTAATACACTTACAGCTGGTAAGAGTCTGTCCAAACATGAAACCAATTCTGTAGCTTTAGCCACATCAGAGATTGGCGGGTCCTGAAGAGGCTTATAACCTTCTATGGGAAATCTTTTCTACGTTAAGAGTTATCAACTCCAACTGTATCACAAACGTCAAGATTAAGCTCTTGATGCATAAATAGGAGGTGCAATTATCGAATGGCTCGCTTGCTGTACTCGGACTCTCAAAGACCCAGCTTACGAGCAGGTCCTTATTATTACTGCTACATGACGCACATTTCTCTACCCGCGGGAAAATTTGGTACGAGTCGAGAAGAGGTTTGCAGGGGCTCTGGTAAAAATAATCAATGCCAGACCCCTTTCAGACCCCCACCGGCTCGTGTTGCTCAAGGCCTCGATGCTTCCCCGCGGGCTAAGAAGCGCTCGTCCCGAGGCGAAGCTGAGGGCAAGCTCACGGGCCACAGCAAGCTGTCAGGGAAACCTCACTGAATGCCAGAGCTGTTGTGAAGGTAGAGGTAGAAAACCCTAACCCTAAGCGTCACATACCGAAAAGGTAGCATTATTCCGAGTCGATTTCTTAAAAATTTATGCCAGTCCAGGGGTCCAACCATAATTTTACGAAATTGTAACACACTCTCTCTGAAACTAGTTTCAACTTTTTTTTCCCTTTTTCTTGCTTTTTTTTTGTTTATTTGTTTTGTTTTGTTTTGTTTATCTCTGTTTATCAAAAGGATACTTAAACGGAGCTGACCCAAAATTCATGTGGCAGGACTCTCCGTATGATAAACTGGCGGCAGGGAAGTACGCCAGCCCTGGACCATATTGAACATTATCAAATGCCACACCCAAAAAGTGTCCATTCCTGAAAATTAAAAATTGGAAAAACAGAAGAAGGTAAGTCCATTTTTAATAAAGATAACAACCGTATAAGCTAAAAACAAATTTCAGTTCTTCAGTGAAGTAAAAATCTTGATCAGATTCCTCCATGGGAAAGAAAAACCCTCTAAAATGTGCATTGGTCCCAAATTGTGTGGCTTCATGGCACTTCATAACACCCATCTAGAAACTAAGAGGCACAGGTTCAAATCTTGTCAAAGCCAGAATTTTTCCAAGCTTCTTTTGTGGAATTGCCAAAATTTCATTTCACCTGGGAGAATTATTGCTTTACTTGATTGAAAAAAAATATATGTTGACAAATTGAACTGGGATCAATCTGGGACTACTATCACTCTGACAAGGGGCTAATGCTCAAAACATCAGCCTTTAAACTCTTTACAATGTCCAATTAATGTTCTCAACTCAGTTGTTAACACGAAATTACCTGCCACACTCTCCCACCGACACAGCACCACAGTTTCTTTAGAAACTTATCCCCTTTATTTATATTATCACAATCACCGATTTAAACTTACCTACTGTATGAGATAACACCTTGATCTAAATCAATAAAGCATCCCACCACATCACCTGCCATCCATTCCTAAAAAATATCAACAATTGTAACCCTTTCATTCCCAAGATATTATTAGTAATTCTCCTTTCTGTCTGCCATACAATTCTGATGATGTTAGTTCAGAGAATTTGGTATTGAATCAACTGATAATCCCCTTAGTGATATTTTCATTTATTCTCATCACTTGCCTGCCTCATATTGTATTGATATTGTAAGGAGAAATTCTGTCTTGGTCACACATTTGAATTAAATAGTTAACTACTGAAGATCATGCTATAGCCATCAGATATTCAGTGAACATACAATAACAGCAAGGCCACAAAATATTTCAAAAGGATTTGAGTGTCTGACTGACTAAATTATTCCACAAGAAGACAAGTAAAATATGCAAACTTTACCTCCCCATATTTTGCTGTGGAGACATTCCATTTTCTGACACGGTGTCCATCATAAGCAAAGGAGTCATTTGTATCACCAACACCTTCCTGAATGCAAAAAGGAGACGACATAACATTGTGATTCCAAATTGGTCCTTTAGAACTACAGAGAATAATATTCAAGAAACACTTTTAAAAGCAATCAATATCTAATTGACTTACAGCATAGGAGGAGACTCATTGGAAATTACATGTGCAACCATTTTTGTTTTCAATTTCCAAAAAATGCCTAACTTGCAGTCAAAAAAGTTCATACCTCATTGGTGAATTTGCATTGCAACGTTGCCCAACCTAACTGCATAATTCCTTTGGAGCCTAGCAATATTTCATACATCCACTTGCCTTGAAGATAAAAAAGAAATCTATTATCAGGGGAAGGTAAGCTTATTTATTTATGTAAGGATGTTTCAACGAAAAGTCTTTTTATCAATTACTGAGCTGACAAACAGAGTGAAAACTTTTGCTAACATAAATGACACAATAACCCCC